CTGAGTGAATAGAAAAAAACACCAAAATGATAGTAGTTAGAACACCACATACAAGAAATACAGTCAATCTCAGAAGAGGGTCCATATCTGTAAACAATATCAGTAGGTCCATAACCTTGACTTTATTTTATTCATTTTTATTATATTTTATTTTATTCAAATTCAGTTCACAACATAGAATAAACAGTAGTATTAGTAAGGTGGAGGAAATAAGGTGAAAGTACACCTACAGTATACTAGTAAACCACCTAAACGTAAAAAAAAACCAAATATAATATCATAAACATTACAATAATAGTATATTATATGTGCAAACATCTAATGTTCTCTGCATCGTTGTATATGTGTTCACAATGTTGCTACATACATCAGATCTAAAAATGTGACATCAATTATTCAAACACTTCCTGCAGATTAATAATGCTGAATAAATGAAAAATCGTTACCAAGCACAAACACTGTCTTGTGTATATTTATTAATATATGTGTAAATATTCATTTATGAAACTCTTGAACTTAACTGTTGGCATTTAGAATGTGAATACTGGTAATTTAATCAATTTTGAATTAAGCCTCAACCCATCATATTGTATTGAAAATAACACACTGATTTGTAATTGATGAAATGAACCACATACGGTACATTAAATGAAGATAAATTTGCTAGCCTTCAACATTAGTTTGTACACTATGTTTCGGGATTATCAGCATTTTGGCCACTGTTTTGCTTTATGAGAGCATTCCACTGTATGCCTCAACGTGAATATCCAATTTTGCGTACAGTAATTTAAAAATAGAAGTATCTCCTTGGGGACCATCGAGCATACTTCTTTATAAAGGGGACACTTTTTGGTAAGTTGTTCTTCCGCCCTCCCTCCCTCCCCCACCCCTTTCTTAGTAGTATCTACTGCATACAGTATACTGCATATACAGAAATATTTGCAAGTAATACTCCATACTCACACAATTTTATCTCTCCAGCCTCTTCATTTTCCTGAAGATTGTTAATTTTTCTAATGAAAATACAGTAAAACCTCGATTAGAAGCACTAGGCTCCATTTTTTATTTTTTATTTTTTTTCAAAATTTGGATGGGTTTGTTTTTGATGGACTTCTTATCAAGATGGACTTTTTTTTAGGCTACTTTTGCAAAGTAAAGGGGGAGGGGGGACTTCAAAATGAATGCCGTAAATTTTGAGAATTACTACTGTACAACAATAAATAGGGCCATTGTATCATAAGTCTGTATCATGGAGTGTATTAAGTGGCATTAAATCACCTAAACTAATGTACATTATACACCAAGCACGTTTATATTTTGTTTTTGAAATTCATGTATAGTGTATAGAGTACTATCTCTAAAAGAAGCCCATAGGCTTCTTATCGAGTCTACTTTTGAAAACAAAAGAGGGGGGCTTCAATTCTAGATATGGGTTCTTCTCGAGATGGGCTTCTTGTCATGATTACAGTAAGCCCACTTGCTTACTACTGTATTTCAAGGTTTTATTGTGGTTTTCAAAACCACAATATACAGTAGTAGAACCCCTCCTTTGGGACACCCCTATTCAGGGGACACCGTCTTTTCTATGAAACGAGGGGGAAAATATATTTTTTAAAGTTACAGCCAACTTCTATTAAGGAGACACCCTTATTAAGGGAACAGACACTTTCTTAGTGAGAAAATGGTCAAATCAATACATTAACCCTATTAAGGGACACACTTTTTTTTCCTTCATTGTAACTTCTACAATCAAGAAAAAAACTTTAATTGTATCACTAATTTTTTTATTGTATAATTCAACTACAATAGATTTGAATTAACAATATTTCATTTATATTTATATTTCGCCAACTTTTGACCGATGAAACTATTACATTTATTTTCTTGATCCTTAAAATGGACATTTATTATTATTTATCTATTCTGTCTTACCCCAAGAGAGAGATGGTACTGTACGGTAGGTTGTAAAGGAAAATTAATTCCTATTAACGATTCACGTACCATTTACATATTCTGGAAAAACTGATATTATTATTTAGCTAGGTTCTTAACAATGATGATGAAAATAATACAAGTTATAAGATTAAAGACATCAGTAGCCACTTTGTGTGGTTCTTTGTAACTAATGTTGGCATTTGAGATTTTTTTCTGAGTACTTTCATAAGATTCGTGGGTGGATCCAGAGATGTCCAAAACGGGGGAGGGCTGAAATTGAAAAAGGGAGGGGGTGGCCGAAAGTTGGGCTGATCAAGACAACACTGTCCTAGGGGGTCCGGGGCATGCCCCTGAGAAATTTTTGTGTTCTAAACGCCAGAAAATAACATTTGGGGCGTTCTGGGCTATCATTTTTTTCTTTTTCTTTCTTTTTTTTTTTCTTTTTTTTACTTCCCAAAAGGGAGGGGGGGGGCCCCAGGCTGCACATCCCCCCCCCCCAAATCCCCCCCCCCCAAATCTGCCCCTGAGATTTGATACTTAATCATGGATTTTATTTTTTTTCCCTTGTGTACTTTCATGCAGGATTCCAATCCATACCGAAAGTCCTCTCCTGATTTACTCTATGCATTCTGCAATATCTTTCATTGCACTGGAATCAATACAGCTTTTGTTGTTTTAGTTACATTTATTCTGATTTTATCATTATTGTATTATATGAATGCATTGCAAACTAGACGGCACTCGGAGAGTGCATACCTCTGCCCACATCATAATTCTCCTCAGTATAAATTTACCCCGCATATTGTCCCCATAAAAAAAAGGGGGAGAAAAAAACATGTAGACTCCTTGGAATTGAATCTGGGGCTGGTAGCATGGAGAACACTCTTTAAACCACTACACCAAACTGTTTTCACTAGTATTACTTTTAATTAATGGTCATATGTTTGTTTACACTTTACCAGCAAGCCCGTATAAGCACACACACACGTCTATACGGCAAACAGTTACACAAGTTTTTCGATCATTGTGTCCTTAACCTTTGAGCCTGACCCTTCACAATTTAGTCATTTCCAGATTTATGGTAAAGGAACATTGTGGTCAAGTTTGACAAATTTCTGATAAAACTGTTTTATTATGACCTTGACCTTTAACCCTTACCCTTAAACATTCAAATACTTCAAGATCTTTGGTGATGGAATGTTGCAACTAAGTTTGTGATTAAAACTATGGGCTGTAGACAAATAAATAAAAAAAGTTTTTTGCTGATAGTGACCTTGACCTTTGACCCTGACCCTTCAAAATTTAATCGCTCTAGATCTTACTGTAGGTAAAAGAACATTGTGCCCAAGTTTGATGAATTTCTGATAAAAACTATGGGCTGTATGTAGGCTGTTCACAACAAATATGCCGACAGACAAATAAATATTCTAAATAAAAAAAACAGGCAAAAAAATAACCTCCTGCCAACGAAGTTGACAGAGGTAATTATAGTTACAATTTAGTTTTAAGTTTTATATTGAAATTTATTCCTCATAGTTCAAACGAAAAAAAAAAATTAAAGAATCTATGTCCTCGTTGTATGACTGCATACGAAAACCCCAGTATTCAGGGGAGAATTCCATGTTTTTGGTTTCAGTGTCCCCTCAATAAGGGTACTGTACCTTGGAATCCCTATTCAGGGTAGACTATTTTTGTTCCAGTTTGTCCCTTTGATTGGTGTTCTACAGTATCAATTTTTAAAACCTTTTGATGGTATATGAGTTTTTGATATTTTGTTAATATTTCTGTGTATTTGTATTCTTATGTTATTCAGTGTTAAGTTCAAGTAAACAAAAAAGCGAAAAAAATTAACCAAATTTATATTAAATTTTGTTCCCCTGGTATAGTATTTTAGCAACAAACAATACAAATTTCATATTGTTCAAAAATCTCCTGTATCTACAATAACAATAAATTATTCTTGTTCCAAAAAATAAATTTATACCAAATTGCTCGAAGCACATTGGACACAGGTTCAAGCAATCTATTTGAAAGGTTTAATTAGCACACTGTAACATAGATCCCAATCACACTTAAGAGTTACATTGGCTCAGGGCCGGCCCAAGTCTGAACAATCAATACAATTTTTTTCCAATTCATTTGCATGTTTATTGTCATGCTCTGCAACCATTAGTAACTGTAGTAATTTTTGTACGGTCATATTGAGATTTTTTTTTACGTGCACTCTAAATTCTGTCCACACTCAAATTGGATGGAGGGATTTATTAACGAAAGTCTGAAGAAGACTATTTCCAGTGGGGTCCTTCTGGTGATGATTGCGAAGTACACCGGGAGACAATCCCCTACTCTTTTCCGAAGAGTGTACTGCGTTTTTTAACATGCACATAATACACACAGGACCAACGGCTTCAACATCTCATCCGATAGACGAAGAACAAATCGTAACTTGTATTAAGCCCTCTTATGCGCCTGACATACACAAATCATCATAAGGTTTTCTCAAACTCGGGAGGTTATCTTATACGCCGACGTCAATCACCTTATACGCGAAAATATACGGTAAACCATTAGCGCCAACCATGATGTGTGTGAACTCTCTTGGTACATACCGACCTCCATCAAAGTTTTTTTTTTGGGAGTTATATGGATAATGACCTAATCAAACTGTACAAACACTGTCCAAAATTCACACAGAAAAACATTCATAAAAATAGTTGCGTTACAACAAAATATTGAGTAGAAAAAGGTGGCCATCCAATTTAATTGGTTCCAAGAAATCTATGTATTATTGGAATATCCAACATATTCAGAAACCTTATTGCAGCAACACTAGGACGGTGTCCGGTTGGATATAGTTTTACCTGTAGTTAACACAGTTAGTCACTTAATCTATTTTGTATGGGGTTTCATAGGAAAAAAAGCTTTGCTTGTTTTGAATGCCCCTTTCCATTTCAATTCATCATCTTCATTTTTGATCCGTTAATTCACCTACTAAGTGAATTGGAATAAATTTATACTTGATACTTGATGATGAAATATTAGGACAAATAAAATAAAATTCTTACTGTGTATTTAAGGCTTCAACTTCTTTATCTAATGACTCGCAGGATCCCGTAATTTCAATTCGTGGGCCAATCCACAGTGACCTTGGTTTTAATACCTCGCTTTCGGTTGAACTATCTTTACTTGAGCTTGTCTGGATTGGGTAAAATACGGATCCACCACCAGCTGTCCGAGATTCCTGTGCAAGTATATGAGAGAGCAATAGGTGTTAAAATCATGTTTGTCTTGTGCGGATCACCTGTAACACGCGAAATTACTACTGCAATGAAGCTACTAAATGTTAGTATGAATTAATATAACTTGGAAATAAGATTTTGATGAACATTTCAAAACTCACAAAATAGTATTATTTTGAGATTAGCCTTGCATTTGTCCGCAATATAAATGCAATAAAAAGTAGAAAAAACAGGAATTCTGACCATGAAACAGGGGGGTCGTCTTAGACAGCAGATACAGTATACAGAAATCGTCCAAAAATCTTCTCAAACTCGGGAGTTGTCTTATACGCGGGTCGCCTTATATGCGAGTATATGGTTTTATTTGTTAATTTTTCATTAAAATTGTAGACTGTATAGTACTTTTCTGTTAAGCTTGGTTTCCGTAGAATCACTACAGTGTCGTTATTACAGTGTTTTCACTGCATTCCTTGCACTGCGTAGCTGTCCCCGATGCCATCGGGAATGCTTTGTTTCAACAGATTAATCAGTGTAGCGAAAAGAAGTCGGCGATAACGTGTAGCGATATTTATGGAAACGTAGGTTTAAGTGCACAAACGATAAAATTAGTCATCAAATACATAATATGTATAGTATAACACAAAGATGTAAGCAAAGCTAGGCCTACATATAATAAAGTACAATAATAATAATAAAATATGAAACAAATATGTAGTTTAAAAAAAATTGAATATTAATCACAAAAACATGAACATTACGATGTCTCTTTACCACTGGAAACAAATTATAAAACATTGAAAATAAAAAAATTAAACTGTTGAAAACTAGAAATAAAACTTGGCTATTATTTGCCGTGATTCTATAGAGAAAAGCTACAGATCATTTTAAATGACAATTCTAAAACGACATAAGCTACCCCAAGTACAAAAAGTGGGTTGATTGATTTTATTCAGAATCATTAAATACAAAATTAAACGATGACAAGAGAAAAGAGAAAACAAGGACCTGATACTACGGACGACCCAAGAAAGGTTAAAAAAAATAAATCGTATTTCTGTTGGATTTCTCACATTAAAACAGAGACGAGTTGGCAAGTTGAATGGCCAATCGGTTAAGGCAGGGACACCGCAACCTACAGCCTTAATATCAGCGCTGGTTCGAGCAGCACGCTCGCCTATGGTTCTGGAGGTGGAGCAATTCTTGGATAAGAACTATAAATCGTAGGCCAAGTGTAAACAAAATGACTCTTGTGCACTTTAAAAAACATAGTACATCTTTCGAAAATGAGTAGAGGGTTACCCCGGTGTACTGGTCCATACAGGCTGCCCTTGTTGTCTTCTGATTGGATTGCCACTTTGAAGAGAAGAGTGGTTGGCATCCTTGGCGCTAGGGCCTTCAGCTGAATAAACAAAAAAAAATAAATAAAACACTAGGAAAAAAAAAATCAGCATTAAGATAAAAAAAAAAAGCAACGATGATTAAAATTTAGCAAAAATGGATGATAAAATATATTGCAATAAAGTGTAAAATTTCAATTTAAAAGTTCGAAGACATTAAAAAGTTAGATAATTTTTCATGATGTATACTACAGGGACCTTAGTGACCATAGATTATAAATTGTCATTTGAAATTCATATCCTTGAGAAAGTTAATAAAGCAAATAGATTAATGGGACTCATAAGATGTGTGTTTACCTACATGGAGTTAGATTTTTTTTTTAAATTACTGCTGTATATAAGGCTTTTGTTAGACCCCATCTTGCGTATAGTGTCTTAGTCTGGTGCCCGCATTTAGAGAAACACATCGACCTGATCGAGAATGTGCAACGTAGAGCTGCTAGACTTGTACCTAGGTTGAGGGGTTTAAGTTACTCTGATAGGCTCTGTACATTACATACACTCTTAAGTACAGAATATATAGAGGCAATATGATTGAGACATTTAAAATTCTAAATCATTTTTAATGATAGTTCAGTCTCTAGTTTTTTACAATTTAATTTATCAGACAGAACTCGTGGACACTCTCTTAAGCTGCTAAAGCAACTTTCCTGTGTGGACTTAAGAAGGTTTTCCTTTAGCAATCGCATTGTAGACAATTGGAATGCACTCCCAAATTAAGTCGCTCCCTCTCTTTATGCGGTCGAGAACAGACTAGATAAATTCTGAAAGGATCAACCAGTTAAGTTTGACCATAAAACAAGCATCGAGAATTAAAGGATCAACAAATTTGGATCTGGACATAGAGGACATTAGTCCTGCGGCCAGTACATCACTTAAGTAAACCTAAGTAAATAAACCTTGTAAATAGAGCACATTAACCTGACTAGTTGGGTGTTTGCCAATTATTGTATCAATGATCCATTAAACTCAATTATAACCTTGAGTGAGGCATAGCTAGTCCAGTTGCACTACTGTACTATTTTCAGTGAACTTTTGCAAAAAAAATCTGCTGAGATTAATGTGTGTAGTAAGCTCTTTATAACTGTAAGTGTATGTTCACACATACGACGTAAGCAGACTGCCGTAGCTTACGCCGGCGTATAAGCTAATCCACGGATTAAAATTCGAAAGTGTTCACACAAACGGCATTTGCTATATTAACGCTGGTGTTAAACTAATTGTAATATGGAAATGGGGGAATAGTTTTCAGTTTTAAATAATATAGGGGTTCTTAACTGTAGTAAAATTAACAGTGCATCATTAAAACTTTTAAATCTGTGAATTGTTCGAAGTAAACTTATGGTTATTGTATTTTTTAAATGAACAATTTTACTGCTGATTTTTTAGCTAGCATTGAGGAACAGATGTTGGTGTTGTAGGTTTTAATAGACAGTCTAAATAGGTTAAAATATCTTACAAAACACAATCAACAAATCATATAAATTATATATAAGTAAAAAGCAATAGAAAAAGAACCCCTTTACCATTTCATTTATAGAGAGCACAGAAAGAGATCATAACTATTAAATCTACTGCAATGGTGATTGGTCAATCTCTTGAAATGAGGTCAAATCAATCAAGCATCACTGGCGTTAGCTTCGTGGCGTTAGCTAATCTGGGGTCTGCAGGTAGCGTTAATAACCCCACGGAGGTGGTGTTGTGAGTGGCGTAATTAACCCCACTGCCTAGTTCACACACAAAGACGTACACTATGCCAGGCTTACGCCTTGTGTGTGAACATAGCCTAACTGTAATTACATACTGCAAAAAAATCTGAGGGCCATGTACACCTAATGTGTAGGCTCTATTCATCCACCAAAAATTAAAATGGGAAGGGTCCAAGAAAATCTCAACCCCAACAATACTCAGTGGAGTAGGCGTATTTACGAGGTGTGTAGGGGATGCACGCCCCCAAAATAAACCTTGCGACCCCCCAGTTTTTCCCCGCATTGACAATTTCCAAATGCCAGAAAAAAAATCACACTGAAGTAGTTCAAAATGACCTCATCACATTACTTTGCGACTTAGTTCTGCCTGACTTAATCAAGCTCCCCACTCCACCTTTACGCCTGCCCATAGGCTTAGCCAGCGAGCCATCCGGCCGTCTTTTGGACGGCCTACAATTATTTAGTACGGCCACTTTTACTGAGACAGCTTGGACGGCTTGGCCTAATAAGCTCGGACTAGCCTAATTGGGCCTGGTCTACCTATAGCAAATTCTTTATATTCTTCAAATCTATCGAATGTTACATTAAACTAAAGCTAAATCATATTTGTGTTTGATAAAAGCAACATTTAATGATTGAATACATTGTTTTCGTACCAATATTCTGTGGGGATTCCCAAAGATGGGAGTAGCCCGCCCATCGGCTCAGTGCCACGCCCACTGGCTTCCATTTTGGACGGCCTATTTCGTATTTCTGGCTAATTCCTTGCACCTGCCAATCAGGCACCCTCCCACGTTCCCCCGCCCATTTGAAGATTCCTATACACCACTGACGGTACTTACTTTGGGATCAAAATAGTTGATTTCTGATCTCTACACAGAAATCGATTGAATTAAGTAACTGAATGCCAATGAATATAAAATATTTATGAATCATTAATAAATATATGCAGTGAAAATGTCTATGCTAGGTCCTTCAGCATAATGTTAATTAATAGAAATACTGTGAGGAGCAGCCTACAGCTTTATATTAATCAGTGTTACACATTCGAATGTGTAATTACATCAGAGAGACCATAGCCAATATTAAGAATTCAATTATTCATCAAAAAATAATTGAGGTCGGCAATGAAATTTATCAAACAGAATGAAATGGAGACGGCTTTCTAGTGCAGCGGGAAATATAGCATAAATCCTCAAGAAACATGACACATACAATCTAGACAACCAGCAAAAATAGCAGATCCAATAGATCCAAGTTTGAGAAACGTAGTCCTATTGAAGACCTACTGCCTAATTCACCACTAGCAGGACCAGGGCTACAAAAATAAAATAAATGCAGAAATAGATCATGCTGAAGCAGTGTGCGCCGCCAGCGTATGAAATCTGGGGAAAAGTGAGGGTCCACTAGAAGCAAGTGTTTGAGCACTCTGGCTTATCCTTAATTAGGGGGTCAAAACAAAGGGACTACCATAGATCCTGTAGTCATAATCTCGGAAAAAAAAAATCAGTGGTCAGGTTCATGGGGACAGTGTATGTTTTTTGATCGCCTTTTGGGAGTAACAAAATATTTTTTACTAGTAAAGTAATACATATATTTAATCTTACGACCTCATAAACAAACCTCCATTTATTAATTTTGAATATTAATCACTTTGAGACATAGGATTACTGCTTTTTATTATTTATTAACACATTGATTAAATTATAATTTAATTACAATGCACAATTGTTCACAGGAAGGTTTAAATTTAATTTCAATTAAATGATGACTGACACTAGTAATACGTTGATATATAATTAAGATTTTATGTCTTGTATTGTTATACTGAAGTGTTCTTCCAGGAAAACAAAATATTTTTCTACCCTGATTTTAATTATAATGATGGTTCAAAGAAGGAAATGCTTTTTTGGCTCTGCTTATACTACCAACAAATAAGTTTAATTTACCTTCTTAGGGAATTGAGCTTTGCATACTTAGCTATAACGCTCTGAGACTTTATTGTATAAAGTGCTTTAAAAATGCTTGTTTATTATATTATTTATTTAACCATGCTTTTCTTGGCAGTGAGCAGTACAGGAATTGGTGAAATTTCACTCTATCCCTAAAATGTCCTGACAGTCTTCAAATTTGTGAAATAATAAAGTCAAGTAGGGTTCTAAATCATCCAATACCATACAGTAAAAAGGTGATTTATCACTTCCTTGGTCAATGATACAATAAAATGCTGCTTTGTTGTGAATGGTTATCAGTGGCATGATTTAGAATTCTCTAGGCTAATAGAGGGGGAAGTGAAATGGGGACTTGATGATTAAGTGCGGGGCCCCGATGATATGAGGTGCTTTTTAACTACTTGAGTATAATTTTTTTTGATTCAAACTTCAATGGGAGGGGTCACAAGCATTTGGGGGAGGGGGTGGTAGGCATAATGAGAAGCAAGATTTTGGGGATGTGTTTGCTATGCACTCCTTGGATATGTCACTGATGGTTATGATGGCTTATGTTTTTTTGGAATCAAATTTAAAAATTATAGTTTGAATGAATTCAAAAAAGATATCAGCTTTCGTTTCAGAAACAAAATGTCTGTAAATACGCACTCTACTGGTATTGGTTGCACAGAATAAATAAAGTGATACAATCTTTTGAATGTTATTGGTATATTGCTAACATACACAAATTTAACTTAATCAAACGACGACAAACAACTTCACATTCAAAGCAAACACAATGTGACATCGAATACATATCGTGACATAGAGGCCTACTTGTATACAAGTGTACAAAAGTCTGTTACACTCAACGGTGAAATACATTTTTGACAGATAAAAGTCATCTTCAGCAACCTCAATTCCTGTTTAATTCATTAAAATATATTTTCAAGAAAACACTTGTTTCTGCCATTAAAAGCCAATGTACTCTATCGCAATGCACTACTTGTTTTGCAACATAAAGCACTCGAATTCTGTGCATGAATGCTTTCGCACGATATTTTAAAATATAGATAAACTGTATTGTTGTTCAGCCATTTTTGTATTGTTGTGGTTAAGCAAATATCTTTGACATACTATAAATGATGAATGTAATATGGATCTTCACTATAGTACTGTACAAGCAGGACGAGTTGGCGTTACATTATTTTGTTTTAACTTTTTTACTTTTCCCTGTACATACAAGTATAGCACTAATAAGTGGACACCTTCGGGAACAAAAAGTGACCCTTTAATAGGGGGTGTCCCCTGAATAGGAATTAGCTATAATGTTAAAAGATATGTGGCAAAGACAAGCCAAACAGTCAAAACTAGTTGCAAAAACTTATTTTAGTTAAACAGTAAAATGTGAGTTATAAAATGGCCAAAAAATCATTCAAATCCAACATTTCATTATGAAGTTACAAGAGTTTAACATACAGCTGTTTAAAGAACAATATTTGAGAAATCAGCCTTCAAAATTTATGATTTCGGGCATTTCTCAGGCAGAAACCATCACCAAATCGTTAAAAATTGTTGTTTAATAACTTTAAAATTGGGGAAAACAAAAGCATAGCATGATATAAATGTTAGTTTATAGTGCAATAAAATAGATTTCAAAAACTCTGACATTCCAGAATGTTTTGGCCATTTTATCTCTGAAACAGGAATTGCGACGAGTGACTGGTTTGGCTTGTTTTTGCCACATCTAATTTCTCTTGCTTAGTGCCCAAAAAAATGTCCCCTTTATTCCCCTTAAAAGGGTTGTCCCAAAGGAGGGGGTTCTACTGAAATATAGACAGACTTGCATTCTTTGAATTCGTTCACTTTTATTGACGTTTTTATAAACAGGTAAGGCATACTGTAGGCCTACTACCACTCTTTGTGCCATTATATAATGCACAAGAAAATTCTTCTTTAATACATATTTTGTACGTTTTTGATTGACATTTTAATGTTTGTGCAAGTACAATGTTCAGGGGGTTTTTTTTTGCATCATCGAATGATCACATTTTTCTCATTCGTTTCAGAATTATATTAAACTTCACTACAAAAAGGATGGTACTGATGTATTGTTGCTTTTTCTATTTACATGTAGAAAAGAAGACTAGATGCGTGACTTTTCCACAAAAGGCTTGTCCAGGAAATTATACCTTCACATATTGTGTGGTTGGAAAATCCAGACTTTTCAGTCGAATTATTAACTCTTGATCTCAATCATACTCCTAAGATCTAAAAATTGGTGGAACAGGGTCAGTGTTGAAAACCAGAGATTTACACTACCTGTAATATACTACTGGTATCTTAATATTTCAAGCATTTTTGGGGGGAAAAAACACCAAAATGAATCTCATACATTAACTTTAATTGCATAAACGTGTATTGTTGATGCTATTGTAAGAATTTTCTGATCCAATGTTCATTGTTTTGAACATTTTCTATCATTTTCGAACAGATCCCAAACTCTGTTCCCCAGGCATCTAACCAGGATTTACTGAAAGGGGAAGAGGAAGGAAAAGAGGAAGGGGGAGAGGAAGGGGGAGAAGGAGGTTCCTTATGGAAGTCTGTGGTATTCAGGGACCTCCATCCAAGGTACAATGATCCAGGTCCACATGGAAGACCTCAAGGTTACAGGATGTAAAGCTTCATATAAAATATTCTAGCATGTAAAATGGTGATTTCAATGATTCTATGCAAAGAAATAGGGTAGTTTGGTCCATTAGTAGCTACTGTAGGGGTTTACCCAAAAAAGAATTTTTGGCTGTTTTTTGGACGGCCACCAATTATTTGTGAGCCACTTTTACTGTGAAGGCTTGGACAGCTTGGCCTACTCAGCTCGGCCTAGCCTAATTAGGCCTTGCAAATACCACCCACAAACGCTCGATCAGGGCTTCGCGCCTCGGCTGTCGCTAATCCCCTGTTTACCATACAAAACCCCCCAGATTACTATATTGGCTTATAATTATGTTTAAATGTAAAATTAGATATAGCCTAGCTACTGTATTCAATGATAATAAATACATAGAGAATAGTAATGGTAATCATGAGGAGAAGGGGAAATGTTATAACCCCATAAAATGATGATGGGTCAGGGGTTGTGTAACAGATAAAAAAGAATAAAATGCACGGTACCATCATTTGTGGCAAAGACAAGCCAAACTCGTCACTCGTCGCAAATCCTGTTTTGGAGATAATGGTCAAAACATGCTGGAATGTCAAAATTTTGGAAATCTATTTTATTGCACTAAACTAGCCTTTATATATATACATCATGCTATGCTGTTATTTTCCTCATTTTCAATGTTAAAACAACAATTTTTAACAATTTGGTGATGGTTTCTGCCTATAGAAATGCCTGAAATCGTAAATTTTAAAGGCTGATTTCTCAAATATTGTTCTTTAAACAGTTGTGTATGTTTAAACTCGTGTAACTTCATAACGAAGTGTCGGATTTAAATGATTCTTTTACCATTTTATAGCTCTCATTTTACTGTTAAACCCTGTATTAATAACTAAAAATTGATTTTTTTTTTTTCGACGAGTGACTGGTTCGGCTTGTCTTAGCCACATTTACATCAGTCACATAAATGTGGTGATTTCTACACAAGAAAGAAAAGCATTTGAGTACTATAATATAACTGTACTATAGCATTCCCAGCTGGCTGGACCTGGGAATTTTGTATCTCGACACTATAAAGACAGAATGTTAATTACGGTACATCATTGATTTTTAAAGTGCTATTTATATAATCCTAGTGTAAACAACTAGTATACCAACCTTTACAGTTTCCAGCTTTGGTGATGCTCTTTTCCCTGTCGTCAACATCCTGTATTAATGTCAATCATTATGAGATCTTTTTGCCAAAATCATATAATTATGGTCAAAGCGAACAATCTCCTGATTGTAATCACAGCAAAATCCAAAAAATTGCAAGTGGCAGTGAAGCGTGCGTGTATATAGGAGACACGCTTCAGTAAGTACAGCACATCAAAACTAGAAATAAGAGCTCATAGACTAGGCAATATAAATATACATATTCTCTATATGGAAACCTGATCGATTCTCCAATGAGAAAAAAAATTCAGAAATTAGTAGTGGGGAAGAAAAGAATATATAAAAAGAGATGGGCATCCTTCTTCATTACGAAGGAAGCAACTTCAATAACACTCATGCGCATAAAGTCAATATAATTTGCGATTCATAACAGCGAAACGTAAACTGCGGACGGCTTTCAGTGCAACACATAATGAATCTGTTGTCGATACAATGATTTCTAGTTGTAATTAGGTTAATTGGCAATCAAACATGCTTGAATCGGTTCTAGATCTTCATTAATTGAGATAAGAACTAAATTAAACGTCAAAGTATAATAGCAAGGGCTACAAATAAAAAATTAATTACTGCTGTCACTAATACAGAAGAATTTTAGTTGCTTTCCTAACGTTAAGATGATTTTCAAATGACAAAATAGCTATCCAAGTGGAGACTAAGGGCTGAGTTTTCTTTTCCCTTTTGTGAGGTACCGTACATGGAATATCCCCTAGAGGCTCCCGAGTTTTAAAGCCATTTTAGAAATAATTTTGGGAAAAAATTATTCTGCACAAGTTTTTTTTCCCTCTTCTAGAAGGAAAAGGACATTCCCCCACAACAATACTTGCACACCCCCCCCCCCCCCCCCCCCCCTCACCACCACTGAAAATGTTCAAAGCAAAAAAATTATGTTGAAGTAGTTTAAATCACTTCATATCACCTTGTTTTCAAACTAGGCCCCCTCCCACCTACAGTAATCACCGAGTCCGCCAATTAGCATACCCGCCGCCATGAGAAAGTGGAAATTTCAGAAAAAAATAAAAGTTTTTCTTTAATTTTATTACGCCCTCTGCTGCCTTGAAATCTCCAAAGATAAGATATGTATATTTCTTCCTAATTATATATTTGAAGCATTTAACCATCCTACTTTACATTCACCAATAACATTTTATTTTTATTTTCTCCTCCGTCTGGATGTTTTTGGCAAAACTATTTGCTAAATAAGAAAACAAAATTTAATTTATATTTTTATTCCACCTTTATTCCGCCATCCTCCGATGATCTTTAAAAAAATAAGTACAGGAAACAAGGAATAAATAAAGTCTCGACTAAAAATACTAATACAAGTCTCGACTAAAAATACTAATACATTAGTAACACATTGAAATCAGTAGCTCTACCTAGGCCTATTTGTCAAATTTAGTGAAATCTACAGTAGGCCTACCTACATAGAACTTATATTTGACATCGCAGAGCAAACAAGTAGTAAGGTGTCGGGCATTGAATGATTCTGTTACTTTAGATCCCAAACAGGTCAGCAATTACGTAATGTCAACTTAATGGTAAAGGATTGACAAAACTGAGCTAAGTGTCTGCCCAAAATGCAGTAGACACAAAGATGTGTACTATTATACACTTTTTCATCTATACTGTAGTATGAGAGTGTATAATAAATTACAGAATTGAGTGAACATTTGAAATTGAGCTGTTCAATCAGTATAGTAAAAGCATGCGCAATCAAGTACCTTTATCTGCCCTTTAAAACACCAACCTTCAGATGACATCTCCTCAGCCTGCTTGACTTTATACGTGTTTTTAAAAGAAAGCTTCTTTAACAGAGAACTGGAACAAAACATGTTTCAAGTGGACAAAACAAATCCCCGAGAAAACAGAATCCTGATCCAGCGTTTATCACTCATTCGGAATTTCTATAAGAGAAACGGTTGCCTCTGAAGCAACAAGGCAGATAAAAATCCAGTATTGAATTGTCATCTCGTTCTCAAACAGTTAAAGCTACATAAGACTGCCTCCATTGTCGAGTCTTCGTGAGGTAAACACGACAGCGATCAATTCTGTTGATCACTCCTTATAAAAGCCACAAATAGAAAAAAATCCCCACCAGACAAATCTGTCACTAAAACGGATTTAACAAAATTATCGTATAGATTTCCTTGCTCATCCATCAAGTGATGTACCACCACTAGTACATAATAATGAGGGGGAAAATTAATAGGAAGTAATCCAATAAAAAAAAATCTCAAATTACAGTATTGTTAAATTCAACGCATTTATATAACTTATTACTGCAACGAAGCGGACAACATTTTCAGATGACATTTTCATAAATATACATGTCAATTTGCATGAACGCTTTTCAAGTTGTGCTGATACTTCTGGGGAGCTGCCATGCACAGCAATCTGGCCAACCCACGCACAAGTTAAAGGGAAATGATGATGGTGAGGATGGTGATGATGATGATGACAATGATATGATGATGATGGTGATGATGATGATGTTGATCATCAAGAATGGCAAGGATGACGATGTTAATGATGATGTTGATGAGGATAGAGGATGATAATGATAATGATGAGGATGTTGATGATAATGATGATGATGTTAATGATAAGAATGAGGATATTGATAATAATAATGAGGATGTTGATGATGAAGATTTTGATGATAATGATGAGGATATTGATGATGATGTTGATGATGATGATGAGGATGATGATGATGATGATGCAGAAGATGATGATGATGATGTTGATGGTGATGATGATGATGATTATGATGATGATGATGTTAGTGATGAGATGATGAGGATGATGATGTTGATGATGATGATAATGATGAGGATGTTGATGATAATATTAAATTATTATTTACTATAGTTTACTTTTAATTTGCATTCACTAGAAAATAAAGATATAGGAATTATATATATTATTATATGTTGATATCAATTATTATTATATGTATTAAATGTAGTTGGCAATACTAGCAACGTACAGTTCTCGATACATGTGATAATGCAGAGCGTAAATATTGAAAATGGTGCTGTTTCTGTGTCAGTGAGCCCGATGTAGCATTTTGTGTCATCATGTGAGTGGAGAGTGGTTTTGTAGATGATGGATGAGGTGAGGCAATTTCAATTTGCATTCACCAGAAAATAAAGATATAGGAATGATATCAAATTAGGCCTACTTTCCAATAAAATAAAATATTGTCAGTCACATAAATTTCAATAAAATTAATTCATCAATCATTCATTTACAAAATGCATGAAATCAATTTGATTAACATTAACAACAAAGTATAATATCAACCAAAAACATCAAGAATTACTGTAAACACAACTGTTTATTCAAACCAGTAATTTTCAAATGAAAAAAAAAAACCAGTTATTTATGAAAACATCATTGTGAAGACTATAGTACCTATAAGCTATTATTTTTTTTTTGTCTTTCATCAAATTGTTGAAAGTGTCAAATGCAATTCTAACTCCACCATTCGTTACTGACTGATCCATAAGAGATAATAACTCGCACCAGAATGTTGTTTTTTGAAAATGCAATCGATACGAACAGGTGTTTACCCCCTACGTGCACTATTATCTGAAAAACATACAAGGAGAAAAATGTCAACTGTCTTCGTGTTTACTAATCCAAACCTGAGAATTCTGCTCCAAGATACGAATATGCATAACACGCTAATAGCTACCTCGTAAGTATTCAAACAGTTTCATCTGGTTTATCTTTATTATAACTGTTTTGATCGTTAATAAACCGAACACAATGGATGTTAACTGACGAAGTCATGTTGATAACTTCAATCCATTGTGTTATAACGTTAGTTATCATTGGTGACCTGCCACCTACAGTAGGGTCTAGTATTAATACATTTTCATGTTTTTGTATCTTTCTCCTGGTTCATTTTGCACTATGTTTTTGTTTAAAATATTTTTTTTTTTCATTAGTTTTTCACTACTTAATAAGAAAAATATGGAAATGAAAACCTACTACAGTACTGTTGCTATATAGATGTATAGGACACAATAAATTTTGTTATTGTTGGGCCTGTTGATATTGGTTGGGACATGATAAATTGTTAGCCCTGCCTGTTGTTATTGGTTGAGACACAATAAATGTGGCAAAGACAAGCCAAACCGGTCACTCGTCGAAAAAAATCAATTTTTAGTTATTAATACAGGGTTTAATAACAGTACAATGAGAGCTATAAAATGGTAAAAAATCATTTAAATCCGACACTTCGTTATGAAGTTACACAAGTTTAAACATACAGCTGTTTAAAGAACAATATTTGAGAAATCAGCCTTCAAAGTTTACAATTTTAGGCATTTCTTAGGCAGAAACCATCACCAAATCGTTAAAAATTGTTGTTTTAACATTGAAAATGAGGAAAATAATAGCATAGCATGATGTATAGATATATAAAGGTTAGTTTAGTGCAATAAAATAGATTTCCAAAATTTTGACATTCCAGCATGTTTTGGCCATTATGATCTCCAAAACAGGATTTGGGACGAGTGACTGGTTTGGCTTGTCTTTGCCACAAATTGTTTCCCTGCCTGTTGTTATTGGTTGGGACACGATAAATTGCTAGCCCTGTCTGTTGCTTTTAGTGAAAGCTTAGCCTTTTTTAGCCCACTGAATGTAGCCAGCCTGTCGCTAACTACAGATTCCCCCTGCTCCTAATTGAAAATTGCTAAGCAAAGCAAAAAAAAAAAAAAATTAAAACTGGAGCAGCCATAGAGAGTGCATACCCCGATCCTGTGCCTAAATATTGAACACGAGCAAATATGCAGGCCATGTATGATGATGTATGATTCCATTATTTTCTTTTATGCTCTGGATAAAAAAAAGATAAAAAAAATTTCTGTGACCTTTGGCCTTTAAACTTTTCTTCCCAAAATGTAATCAGCTTTCGATTGCATGACGACAATAGGACGTAGAACTTAATGATGTCAATAAAAGGTAAAAGTCATCTGCGCATGCAAGAAAGTTAGGGTTACCTCATCGAGTAGATTTTCGCCAAATCTACGTATGCAGAGAACGTAGGATGCCAA